AGGTGAAGAGATTCGAAGGTCGGTTCCACCAGAAGACGACGGCGGACTCCTCTCGACCAGCTGTAGATTGGTTTTATTTGAAGATTCATGCTGACGCTGTCTCCGAGGCAATCTCCTTCGATTCCAGTCACATGACGACAGCATCAAAGCGAGGTAACATCGTCACAACGAAATTCAAGCTAAAGAGTCAAGCCAGTGAGTTTTCTTGACTCGTTAGCTTGAATTTGGTTGTGACGATGTTACCTCGCTCTGAAGACGAAAGATAAGCACCTTTTCACCGAAATCGAAAGAGATTGCCTCGGAAACAGCGTCAGCATGAATCTTCCAGTAAAGCTAATCGACTGCTGGTCAAGAGGAATCTGCCGTATTCTTCTGGTGGAACCGACCTTCGAATCTCTTCACCCAACACATTCACTCGAAATGGAAGTAAGCTCAACAATTATGAAACAAGAGATTCCTCAAAACCCAACTTTTCTTCGCATCATTACGTCAAGTCGCAGATATGAATGTTTAGATGGTATGGCCTCTACTGTGGTTGTATTATTCTATCGCTGTATACAAGGGGTTTTATCTTTTTTCTGTTGTCAAAACGACATAGATAAACACACCTTATCCGAAACCCTCTGCCATGGTAGCCATGATAATTTGTAACGTCTAAGCGTGTCGACTTGGTACATTTTAAGACGTCTCGCCGGCGGCGTAAGTGGGCCTGGTTACATCACATATTACTGATTTACTGGTAGTCTCAAAACTCTACGTAAAATACGAACAATAAATAACGTCGTAGATTGTTATAGCAAATATACATTTGCTTCATCGACAATCCCACCAAAGAATATGATATGCCAAAAGGCCTGGCCTTCTTTGAAATTCCCATCTGCCCTGTGACCCAAGAGCATTCGTGGCAATGTGGTCGAGTGGTTAACGCGTCAAGCTCCCATCCTGCACTGTTACGGTTCGACTCCCGCTGGGGGTGTTGATAAGACCGGTGCGAGGTCGAAACTGCAGTGCACTCCAACTGGGATGGGAACAACTTTTGGGAAAGCAAGGCAATGTGAAAACTCAAAGGGAACGTTAGCTCTACTGGTATCATTGTGGGAAAATTCTTCTTCTACCAGTCCTTCATCAGCTTAAACGAAATTGGGTGAATACATCTC